TCTACCAAATTATTGGTCTTGTGACTTTCACCATATACAGACCACTGTCTCCCAGGATGTGTATTTAACCAAGTCGTGTCCATATATTTTAGGAACTTTGTTAATTTCCGAGTCTCAAGTCAGTTGTTCTTTATGTACGCTATTCCATCGTCAATTTGTATTTCAGGCAACAAAGGCAGATACATTAGTAATTAAAAAGAAATATTTAAATGAAATAAAATATTGTATATATACATAAGGAAGTAAAATCATTTTACTAATCAGATGTTGTAGTCATACTATAACTACGAAGACATGTATATTGTCATAGTCATACTGGTATGACAAACTAATATGACCATGAGGAAACGGCCATTATAGCTGTTTTAGCCACAAGCATTTAATCAATATTAACATTAGTGAATTATAGCAGAGAAAATTAAAGTAACAGTCATAGCTATCTACGAATAGACATAAACATATGTTCTTCTTTTTCTTCTCAGGCTTAAGACGTCATCTGCTTGACATAGGCCTCCCCAGGATTCATCACAACAACTATTAGGATATGGATATAAAGATAAGTATATAATTTAAAATAGGCTCACGTAATGAAATTATCGTATACTTCCATCGTTATCGTGTAACCGACTAGAGTGTTCAAGCGTTTCTGTAATAGGTACGTAGTAATTACATTTGCGACTCCATATGATTTTTTTAACACGCTCTCTAAAATTTGCATACGAATTACTTATACCCATACTGGGTGTAAGTAATGCGTATGCTTGCGTATGCACGTATGGTGCGTAAGCTACATGCAAAATGTATATGTGATAAGCCTGGAACGGTCATTGCCAAGGCATACATTTTAAGGCTCTGTGTAAATTTTATATAAATGAAGATTTTTCATTAGCTATATTGTTATATAGGTCAAATATTATCCTAATAGGAAGATAAAATATGAATCATTTTACAAATCAATTTCAATCGCACAACTCCAAAGTCAGGGTTGATATTTAATGAAATATCTTACAAACACTGAAGTCCTAGTACAATGAAAAAGATATTCATATATTTTAGTTTGCTTTAACAGCTTAATCTGTTTAAATGTGATTAACTAGTGCACTTAGAGACATTAATGGTCACCTGAGCTACCCTCAGTATAGATTTTCCTTTAATAGCAATCATCTAAGTACCTATTACTTGTCTCCGAGAGCGACATTGTTTTAAGTATGAATGAAAACCTTTTGACTAAATTGTCATCCATCAACTGATATCCAAAGAAAAATATATTTTGATGGTATGGGATGGAGAAAGTATGTATAACATTTGCAGCATATACTTTCATGATTTTTGAGGCCCTTAGTATAGGAAGACACTGTTATCAAATTGTGTGTAGTTTTGACGTTCTGCGTCTTTGTTTCGAAGAGACGTTTAACAACATACAGTGACTAATTTAAGAAAACTTACAAACCAATTTCATGACCATCATCCCACCCTTTTCCCAAATCTTTTGGAAAACGGTATAATGAGTCTCCTTCTTCTATTTCCCTTGATCGTTCGACATCTTCCTTCACAAACAACTTTATTTTATTTCTAAATGGTTTTGGCTTTTCCTTTTTGGTAAACAAGCCTTCTTGTTGATGGTTCTTTGTACATAGTATGAAGCGAAAGATATTAAGAAATTTAAAATAACCAGGGTTTTTCTTATTGTCAAATCAAATAGATTCACAACCGTTTTTTTATGGGCAGCCAATTATTACATTAATAATGTTTTTTCTTTTACATGTGAATAAACATTGAACATTTTTGCCTATTAACAAAGTCATATTTTATTCACTTGTATATTTTTTACTTATCTGTTGCACTTTTTCTCAATAAATATGTTATTTTTGCGATGTTATAACTATTTTATTTTATTAAAAAAAAATGTTTTCCGATTGACAAATACTTGTCATTTTAAAGAAAATAGACTACTAACTAATCAAACAAAAACAAGACTATCGTGTCTACAGTAACAAGTTTCACAACTTGAAAGATCGCCATTAGGTTAGATACTTGCCAATACAATAAACTTTTAGCGACGCGACGACGAATAGAATTGCCTCACCACGTCAATAAGGACCAAAGTTGGACTTCTATCGGCTATCCGGTGCGGCGTCGTAAAGGAAATACTTTGGCTGTGTAACGCACCATTTACTATCAAAGTCTCACTGTTGATATAAACGTCTGTAGTGACACGAAAATATTTTGCGTTTGATGATGTCCTAGTACATTATACGAGTGGACTTTAAGTTTATAACTTAAAAATTACTTTTGAGACATTATGTTAAATTCATTCCCTAAAGAGTTAATATAAAACTGTTTTACCACTTAATCTGTAATTTCTGTGGATCCCCACTTTTAAACCTTGATGTATAGGAGTACCACCAAATGAAAAGAGTTATTGTAGTTTGCAGATATTGACAATATTAAACGCGTTTGCCACAATTTATAAGAAATAATAATATCTAAAATATTTGTGTTACTAAAAATGCTGGATAATACTCCACCCTTGACGAGCTCCTGTAATCCGACTTACTGATATATTACTATACAAGACTGTTTAGGCCTTCTAAGAGTGCAAATTCATCCAATTCAGGTTGATCAGAAGTCTGTTATTCCCTACTAACCTTATAAACAGAAAAGAGCTGGTATAGCAGAGCATGAAGATAATATGCTCAAAATGCAGCAACTTTTAGCTAATCTAGCTAAGAGCTCCTTCCATTCCCACAAGCTTCCACGCGGTCCCAGATTAATAACAATGTTGTTTTTTTATGACCAAAAGGTGCATTGCCTTACATCATTTTTTTTTATTTAATTCTTTTCGATTCGTAAAAGAAAGTTGCTTCGAAGTTACGAAAAATTAAGAAACAATATAGCCGTTATGCGCACTATTAGTCGGCCAAAGCGCCAAACTAGTATCGTTGTTGACACAAACAAACCTAACGAGATGAAAACATCCTGCATTAACTAGCGTCCTAGTAACTAGGAATATTTTGCGCTACGACTGGGCATTTCTTCTATTATTATTTTTTATCAATCATGATCAATCTGATTTGTAAGTTTTGACTAAAGCTTTGCATTCGACAAGAGATCATCAGAATGCTGATTTGTAAGTTTTGACTAAAGCTTTGCATTCGACAAGAGATCATCAGAATGCTGATTTGTAAGTTTTGACTAAAGCTTTGCATTAGACAAGAGATCATCATGGATTCAAACCCGATCCTAATTATTTTCAACCCTCATAATGTAACGTGCGTAATCTCATTTACGTAAATATTAGAAGTTGTACGCTTCCAACAAATACCATGCGAGCCTATTTTCGACGTTGAAGTGACTTGCAAAACTTTTGGGTAAAATGCCTACAAGTTGCTTGTTCCTGCTCTAAGTTTCCTGACCTACCAACAATGGTTATCACATTTGTAACCTCTGCCGCAAGACGTGAATTGTTGTTCTATTAGAGCAGTTTGCTTATGTAACGAAATATGTATCATGTATTTCAATGAAAAAAAATATTTATATTTTGACGGGCCTGTTGGTCTAGTCGTTAGTAGTTCTGACTGCTAAGCCAGATATATTGGGTTTATATAATATTTCGGACATCTGATACACAACGACATCTAGTTTCAAATTGAGCCGCGCTTGTACTATAAAAACTAGATTGACTGATAGAATACATTAATACTTTTTTTGTAAATACATACATATTATACATAGAAAACACCCAAACTCCGAAAAAAAGATTTGCAGATCATTCAAATCATCATACGCATACGCTACCACTGCACCACCGAGGTAGAGGTCGTGGGTTCGATTCCTACCCTTGACAAAGAATTGTGTGTAAGCACTATAAAGCACGGTAATTTGTTCTGTCTGGGTGTAATTTTTCTTATAATATGTATGTATTTAAGAATTTGTAAGTATGTTTACTTGCAGTCTGGTTACCATAGTACAGGTTCTTCCTAGTTTGGGATCAGACTCAGTATATGAGATGTGTGAGGTTATTATTATTATTTCAAGTTCGTTCAACAACAAGAAAGCCTTATAGCTTTAGCGTAGAGGTCGTTAGAGACTAAAAAGCTATAATTTTGCGCAAGTGAGGTTAGCATTAATTCCATTAACTGTGTATTAATCGTAAAAAAAAATATTTGAAGAGTAAGCGCCACCTCTTCAAGTAAAGTGGGGATGATTTTTTCTTGTTTATCCAATAATGTAGGGCACACTGAGATGTGATCCGTTTGTGTAATAATAAATTTTATATTTTAAATTTATCAGGATTACAAATGGCCGTTATATGCTCAGATTGTCGAGTCGAATTTCAAATGCATAAATAATGTTAAATAACTTCGTAGTACGTGAACAACACCCTCATAACTGCTGCGCTTATGTAATAAACCATCGAATTGTCCTGTCTTACCTGTCTTAAAAAAAATTAGTATCCAAAAGTATCGATATGCACTCGATCGTTCATTATTAAACTATTACTATACTCGTAGATCGCCTAGTAGTTGAATTTCAACCGTTTTGACGTTTGGCGTTGACCACTATAAATTGAACTGTCGTGTCAATTATTTTGTACTATGGCAGATCAAAACACACCTACATAAATTGATTAAATTTTTTAGCTTTCTGCACTTCAAACTTTAACTGTTCCAAACATACCATATGTTACCGTGCATATTTGTTTGTAAATGAATAATTTCTTCTTTCTTCTCTAAATAAATAATGTACATTAATAATTTACGCTTAGCATTTTTGTCATTATATTCTTCTCCTTTTTCTTCTTTGCAGTCGAAAAATATCTACTGCAGGACATGGGCCTGCCCAAAACTTTGACAAAAGTCACAAAAATAGCTTCCGCCGCCTCTACGTCTTTCGTAAGACTGTAAATCAAAACGTGCCTTCAAAATCGACACGTTTCTACTTCTCTGCATAATCAGCTGTAGTATTAAGCTGTGTGTTGTGTAGTAATAGCTCTGAACATGTGGAGAACGTTTCTATTGTTTGTCGTCGTGAGCGGAGTCTGCGCTAAGATAGATGAAGATGATCCTAAAGACATCGGTTCATTTGGTATGTACTAATTAAAAAAAGACAAATTTATATAAATATTGTAATACTGTTAGCCTCCTAATATTGTGAAGGACTTTAGCTTATGTACAAAGCTTTTCCAACGTTAATAGACAAATTCTTAAGAACATTATAGAAAATTTTCTAAAATATGTAAGTTCACTTAAAGTATTTTGCCCGTGGAATTTCGTGAAAAGAAACGGAAATGTGTAACAGGAAGTCAGGGTTGATTCGACCAATGAGCGTAGCCGTCAGATAGAACTAAATTAATTGTGTACCTTCTAATATTATTCAAATAAAATGCACTGTGCATTTAAAATATATTATTCTTTGTTGAGGAAAAATATTCCCAATCACATCACATCAACAGCCTTCAATAGTCTCCTGCTGGACCAGACGGATCCAATAATACCTGTTTTTTTTTAAAGATTTAATGTTAATTTTGCTTATCACCAAGATACATCATATGCCATTATTGTCAAGTTTGTTAGTTTTTAATTAACTAAATTAACAACTACTGTATTGACCTGAGTTTTTTCCATAATAATTTAGCTGTCTTTTTCCTCCAATAATGACTACTCATTCCTAGAAAATAATCACACCAAAAATTGGCGGTTTTTACTTATACTAGAGCAATAAGTAGAGCCCACTGATATTTTGTAAAACGGTTTTTTTCTTGGATTTGTAAAACTATTGCATAGGACGAAAAGTCCTTAGAAATAGTAGTAGTTGTTGAGTAGTTAAAAAAACTACTATACAAATAGCCAATAAATAAGTAGCATTAATAACGTCAATATACTTATTGACCTTATTGTCATTTTTTTCGTTTTAATTATGCCAATGTCCTAAAGTACATAACATATAACTTGAAATTTAGAAAGTAGTGTCTCATCACTACGGTCTGTAGTTGAGAAAGTTCAACATGATTGTGTCCATTTTACTTAAAAAAAAAAAAATCTAAGTTTCTGCCACAACTGGTGTACCTAATCTTTCGAAGCACATCCTATCTAGCAGATATCTCACGTATACACACATACATCCGCTCACTCCTATATAAGGGGTAACACACACACACACACACACGGCACAGTGGCTTAGTGCCCTCAAAAGTGTATGTCAGTGTAGGTTTGTGCTGCTATGTTTCACTTTAGTATGTAATGGGTTCTCGTTTTTAACTGTTTTTATGTTAATACACGAGAATTAATGCAATTACGTAACATAAGCAAAACATTTCTATGTAGAAAAAACAAAAATGCTAACGTTTGATGTCAAGCTTGATCCTACCAAAAATATTTTCATGTAAAATGTTGCTAAAACGAAACCATAAATATGGCTCGCATTGACAAAAAGTTATCAGATCTCGTGTAGAGCTAAGCTTCTAACTCTACAAGAACTAACTTCACAAACCTTACACCTTATTCAAAATATAATATGGCCTGGCGATTTCGCTACCGTCCCATGGGCATAAAATTCTAGCTTCTATTGGTTCGTCTTGGCGATCGAATCAACAGATTATTTATTTGAATATAAAACCATGTCCCTCTTGATTTAATCCACAAAAACTTTAATCGAAGTCACTTATAGAATACAAGATGTAAGCTCCTGGCATATGTATCTATGTAGGTATACATTTATTTATTTTCAGACTTGATATAAAATCAATTTTAGCTTATAGTCCATTCGTGTTAAGAAAATAAAAACCTAATTGGTCTGGGTGGCAGGTTTGATCAATGCGTTTATATTTTCTGAACTCAAATGTACTGCAGTTAATTAAGAAACAACCTCCTGGATACAAACTAAATATAGGTAGTTATACAAAGTTAATTTCATCAAACTATTAATTATGAGCAGGTAAATATCAAAGCAAACTTTGAATGAATTGTCGCTTGCCCCGAAATTTCAAACTGCCAGTTTGGCACTTTGTCATTTCAATACAACCTCGGGACGTACATGAACAATACTTCACATATAGCTGTATATGTAGTTAGTTCGATTAGGTCAATATTAGCTAGCTAGCGATAACATGTTATGAAAACGATCTACTGCTGAACACAAAACATTGTTTGTTGACTTTCTAGCCAACTAGAGTTTTAGGACCAAATTTATAATAAATGTAATAGTGTTTATGTTATCTATTATTCATTTTTTAAAATTATACAATACGTGTCAGTGTATTCTTTTTTGGTTTTCGTAGTAGGCGCTTCGAGCATTACAAAGTTCAACAACAGAGAGTGTGGAGGTTTTTTTTTTTTTAAATTACATACTTGGCTAACGAGCTGGTGGGTCACCTGGTAAGTGACTACTGTCGCCTATGAATACATGTCGCCTACGAACACATGAAACTCAAAGAGTCCTTTGCCTTTTTTTTTAAAGTTGATCCGACTTTAAATAATACTAACAAAGATAAAACACGATGTCAGGGCTGGAAAATTTCTCTGGGATGCCATTATCAGATCTTGACTTTGTGAAAATGGGAGCACCTCAGGTGTATAACCTTTCGATTACAAAAATAATTTTGAAAACCCACTATTGATTGAGACATCGCGTAACAAACAATACAAAAAAATCAGTCCAATTGAGAACTTTTTGTGTTTTTTCGGTGTTTTTTAAGTCGGTTAAAAACGATAATAAATAAAGATATTATAAAGAAGAAATTGATGTAAATACGGAAACACACGTATATGTTCATGTTATTTTTGCTCTAAAATGAATGAGGAATGAGGAAAAATCAAACGCCCCTTCCACATTCATTTAATAATCGCAAGATCAAATAAAGTACTTGAAAACGTGCAAATATTTGGTTAGGATAACGAAATTTTCCTTCCTGTACTTATCTTAATATAGATCAGTTTTTTATGAAACAATTTTCAGCAGATATATTAAAAAGAAATTGTGAAAAACATTGATCGTATTTAAAAATAGTTCTCACTGATATCGTACTATCCTTGCAACTTTACATTATACATGGTGGTTTTTATAGTTATTTCTTGAAACAGAGTAATAAAAAATTACCGCAGTACGCAAATTCGGTGCTTACAGAGAGTTTAAAGTGAGAGAATGTCTGAGCAGATTATACGATGTGGAATATCAACTTGTCAACTTAGTAAAGCTTAGTAGAAAGTTTCCAAACATGATTATCTTTAACTTTTAAACTTTCGCGCTCCATGATATTGCATTACGTAAATAAGTATACCTAGACGCAATATTTGTTACATATCTTTAAATTCTCTGTCATTTCCATTGAAGCAAGCCTGGCAGGAAAAGTTTTAGAGGTGATATACCTATTACGTCATATACATACAGCTACATATACTCGTATACACACTCAAGCCTATATCCCGAAGGGATAAGCAGCCTCGTTAAAGATTTTATAACGTAAACTTGGCTTATAAATGTCCCGTTCCAATCGTTTGACAACAATATTGATAAAGAAACTAGGCAGAGCCTATCCTGTAGTAAACAGTCCATTGATAGACATACCTATTGTTACTTAATACATACATAACATAAATTGATAATTATACAGAGAAAACGTTCATGCAAGTGTCAAGTTTTCCAGCAGGGCTGTTGTCCTGCGTAGTTTGCTCCTTTAGTCGGCTCTTACGACACCCTTGGTATGAATAGGGGTGGTGACACTCTGTATTCTTAATCCGTCATCATCGGAAAAAGGATAGTGCTCATCACACAATAACTTGTCCTGGTTGAGAACCTAACCCACAGGCTCACGTTTTGCAGTCAGGATAAACTAGAACCAGTCGATGAAAGTAGTAAGTCCGATATGGCGTCATAGTTTACGCGCTGAATTCATCGTTTTTGTTATACGCCTAGTAATGGGAATAGGTGATCATCTAAAGTGTACTAGATACGGATCGAACCTTTACTCTCCTTACTCTGCAAATCTACTCAATAAAGCAAATTGTATTTATTAGAACGTTGTATACAGTTCTAATTGGACTGCAGATTTATAACATGTTTATTGTGTAGCATAGAACCTTGTGACTCTTGATTTGTCGTCTATTTTTGTATAACAAAAAAGTATGACATGTTAACCTTTATGGGGCTGCCTACACACCTTCCTTACTAATGTAAGAATGTAAGGATGAATGTAAGGACGGTGTGTAGGCATAATACGTGTGGGTGTATGTTACAGTGTTACGCCCTCAGGACTCAATTGATCATTATGAAATATTGTTTGCATGTTTACATATTGATGTGCGTGTTTGTTTGTTATGCTTTCACAGTATAACTTCTCACCTGATAATAAAACTATGAATACGATTACGATACGATACGATCATCACTTGGATAATTGATACTCGAATACTGTGAGCTTTTAAAAAACTTTTGTATCACACTTGGCGCACACGACATTATCGCCTGCCAAATTATTGGACTGATACGACCTACAAACCTTTATGAAAAGAGCGTCAAAGGCTGGCTACGCGTTTTTGACTCAGTCGCAGATGTTCATGGACGGTGATAGACACTTTCCTTCTAAAGATATAAGATACTAAAAAAGACAAAAAGTACGTTTTAACTCATAAGAAGAGAACTATACCGGACTGCGCTGAGAGTGTGTGTGGGTTAGATCGCCACGTGAGACAACACTTTGTGTGATCCACAAATTGTTGTTCTGAGTCTGGGTGTTCTTTGTATCCATTTCATTAATCTACGTAAAGTCCCCCACGACACAGGATATATTCGTAGTATGGGCATTGTCTTTTAAGAAAAAAGGATAAAGGGAGAGATAGCGTGAATACGTAAATAACAAAGAAAGGAATCGGGTAAACTTTTATGTGATTTCGTAAAAGTTTTTACCGATTCCAATTACGAGAGCGATTACCGATTACAAGAATCAAACCCGTGGTCACTCGCTACCAAAACATTAGCCAACTTATACCGTCACAAAATCTTCAAATAAATTTTCGCATTAGAGAAGTCTCCAATTTGTTCAAAGTCAAAACGCTTAAGCGAGTGTTAAGACGAGAGCACCAGATTAGTTC